TGGGGGTCAACATCTTGCCGGCTTTGGCCTGCTTGGCAAAGAACTGAGCCAAAAACTGGGTGGAGCTGTCGGGCAATTCCTCCTCAGCGCCGGTGTCGGTAGTCTCTTCCTCCTCCTCATCTTTGTCCATAGATTCTGCTGGGAGGGCAATAGAATCCCGTTGAATCTTGTTGGCTACTGGCGTAACAATAGGTGGGCAATCTTCAAAGTGATCACGGGCAGGTGTCTCCGGTGTTCGTGGAATAGCCTCCTCGGTCTCGGACTCCTCATCCTCCACAATGATAGACTTCTCGACGTCGGTCATGCTGTTCTGCTGCTGGTCATCCGAATCTGCCTCGGCGGATCCTTTCCTTTCCTGATGACCAAGAACCTTGTCCTGCTCGTCCTTCTGTTCTTCGTCATCATCCTCAATGACAACACTTTGGAAATTGTCTTGTTCTTCCACATCGTCAGCCTCAGGTTCGTCTGTCTGGTCCTCCTCTTCTTGAGGTTCGGTCATCTCGACTTCTTCGACTTCTTGTTCCTCGAAGGCCATACTCTGATCGACATCATCATTGGCCTCATCTGCCTCAACATCATCCTCCATCTCGAAAGCTTCGTCGGCGACACTGTTGGTCTTGCTGGGTGATTCACCGACGATACTGTTGCTGGCGCTAGGTGGGTAGAACTTGACTTCGTCCTCAGACTCGTACTCGTGACCGGCCTCGAATTGATGTGTGGAATGAAACGTCTCCTCATTGTCTTCCTCCTCATCCTGATCTCTCAAGGGAACTTCGAATTCCTCGCCGTGCTTGATGGAAAAGATAGCTCGCGCAGTCGTAATCGCAGCGACAGACTCGGCCAAGGCATGCTCCGCCAACGCGGTTTCAGCTTCGGAATTCCTCAGCATCTCATCTGCCGTCTCGGACAACTCGTTGGCTTGTTGCATCTTTTCCTCGAGTGTAGTAGAGTGGAGACGCTCGTGTGCTTCGGACTCTTCTTGTTCATATTCCTCCTCTGGCTCCACAGACTCAGAGTCAGCTTGGGCAGTCACACTCTTGCCCCGCTTCCTGTTGTTCTTTTTCTTCTTCTTTTTCCGGCCAGCCTTGGAGGTATTCGATTCCTCAGTCTCTTCGGTAGGTTCCTCTGTCGTGCCAGGAATATCTGTGGAGGATTCGCTCTGTTCCTGTTTCTCTTCCTTTTCCTTGTGTGAAGATGACGATGTTGGCGACGTTGATGATAATGCTGAATGCTCAAACTGATCAAGAGTTCCCTCAACAGCAGTGACATCGGGTGATAATTCTTCCATTTTGGCAGCAGCCTGGCTTCGGGTCGTTCGGCGGGTCGACCGGACAGGGGTTGAGGAGCGAGAGCTACCGGTAGCAGCGGTAGCAGCGGCGGTCCTGCGCTTTGAAGTCCGAGGTTCCGCCGAGTCATGTCTCTCCTCTGTCTCGTCCAAGACGCTGCTAGTCGCTGATGCATCCTCGTCCATTTGTTCCGGTTGTGTCGTTGGTGGGGTTGGTGGAATATCATGTGTGGTCTATTTTTTTTTTTGAATATTGATTCGTAAAACAACAACGAGAATGTTAGTGATCAGCTTATTCCGCTGGACAAAAGTCGATGCTGGGGTGATATTTGCTGAATCCCAGAAAAGTATTGTTACCTCCATCATATCGTCGTCACTGTCTGCGAGGATCTCAAAGGTCTGCTTTGTTGTTGTAGTTGTTGTTGCTATTGTGACCTCGGCGTCTTGGTCTTTGTCTGATTCCGGTTCAGGGGTCATGTTGGTTGTGGGTTGATCAGAGGCATGACTCTCCAGAGTGGTGGTTGAATGCGTGTCGTCATCGTTTTCATTGTCAGAGTTGTCATTGGTATGGTTTTCGTCACTGTCGCCTTCATCGTCTGTATCGCCACGCCAGGGTAAGACCCATCGTTCGAACTTTCGCCAGTACGGGGTCTAATAAAGAAGGGAATCAACACCATTGCACGCGTTAGTGTCAGGGTCGCAATCACTGAATACAAACAGAGGGCTGATTTCCACGAGATGAAAGATGTGGTCACTCGACAAGGAGGTATGATCGTGTCTCTCATAGACATACCTTTGAGCGTGCTTGTGCTCTGGCCTCTGCATGCTTGCGAGGAGCCTTTCTGGAGCTGTCCTGACGCGTGTCGCGATGAGTGTCCGAAGAGTAAGCCGATTCGGTATGGTCGGCCATTTGTTTGTATTGTCCCTTTGTGTGTGAATGTGTGAGTCCTTTGGGTTCAAAGAATAGAAACAAGGGGTTTTTAGTGTTGATGGAGGGATGGGGATTATGTGGTGATAGGGGAGAGACAGAGACGATGGGGGACGGAGGAAATGAAATGATGTCGCGAAGAATAAAAAAAAAAAAAAAAAGAGAGAGAGATCAGCCTTCAAACAAAAGACAGGAAAGGCTGCCCATTTCGGGCACAAATGATGTCACGGTACATATACAAAGTCGTGAATATTAATGAATCAGTCATGTGACTTTGTATTGTTTTGCGCCCTCCTGTGTGATTTTCTTTTTTGTTTGACTGCTTTCAGTCGCTGTTCGTTTCTTTTGCACGCACAGCGACCGTCTCGAGGCTGCAAAAAAAAGAGAAGACGCTCATCTCAATTGGCGGCACTTTTTTGAAGTTCGATTTCATCTCTTTACCTCGAACACACTCCCAAAGACTACACATCACCATGGTACTGATCACTCTTAAAGCCTGGGGGCAGACTCACTACTCTTTCTCTTCTCGGGAGCACGCCTTGGAAACAACACTCTTGACAAAACATCATTGGCGATCTACAATTTTCATTTCTTGTCTCTCAGCAATACAAATCCTTGAATCAGCAACCAAAAATTACAGGAACCAATCAATCATCCAGTCGAATGCATGTACTCACAGACATCAATGTACTGATCATCCCCCCACATTCTTCCACATCTTTAAACACCCCCTTCCCGTTTTATTCAATTCTCAAACAGCGTCCCATTCTTCTTCAGGGTCACGAGCGTTCGTTGACACAAATCAAATACAACCGCGAGGGTGATTTGCTCTTCTCGGTCTCGAAGGATCATGTCGTCAATGCCTGGTTCTCCCACAACGGAGAGCGTCTCGGCACATACGAGGGACACATCGGAGCTGTCTGGACGGTCGATGTCAACTGTAAGTTTTTTAATTTAGTTTTACTCGAGAAAGACCGAACCCCTTTGCCATGAATAAGCCGCAGCAGCTACTTTCACTTCAGTGCAGGGACAGGGAGTCTGGTTGTGTACACACCGAAGTAATCATACTGGATGAGAGAAACCCTTGGACTCAAGGCCTGCCGCAGCATCTTTTATTTTTCGAACCAGGATACAGGCCTTGGATCAACGCCACCAAAAAATGAAATGGTTTTGATCGTGCACACAAACGAACCCCTCCCTTCCTGATCTTTAACTTTTTAAACCCCTTTTTTTATCTCTCATTCATTAGCGACCTCGACCCTCTTGGTCTCTGGATCTGCCGATAACACTGCCAAGATCTGGGATGTCTCCAACGGAAAGTGCTTAAAGTCATGGGAGTTCAACACCGCTGTCAGACGTGTTCAGTTCTCGGAGGATGACAAGATGGTCTTGATCGTCACCGAGCCCCGTATGGGTTTCCCCGCCACTCTCCAGATCTTCAACGTTGAGAACGGCCTTAACGAGACCAGTAAGGATATAGACTCGACCCTCAACGGATTCTGACTCTGCGTTTAATTTTTTTTCGTCGCGAGAGAGACTTGGACATTGACCTCGTATGTTTTCGCCTTTACCTCTAGTCTCCTCGGAGCCCAAGTTCAACTTCCTCCCCGAGGGTCCCAAGATCACCGTCGCTGCCTGGAGCGCTCTTAACAGATACATCATTGCTGGCCGTGAGAACGGATCCGTTGCTTTGATTGACTCTCAGGTAACGACTCGTATTGCTTTTGGAAGGAGATGATCTGGAGAAAACAAAAGTCCATTCAGTTTGTTAATAGTAATTCATCTTCTTCCTTGCTTCATATCGAATATCTACTGGACAACTCCAACCCTTATCGACCACTTCAACTACAACACACATAATGGCGACAATCAAAAACCAACAGTCCGGCGAGGTGTACAGCAGCAACAAGATTCACGAGGGCTTGATTACCGATCTCCAGATGTCGACGGATCGCACTTACTTTATCACTTCTTCCAAGGACAAGTCTGCCAAGATTGTCGAGACTGAGTCATTGGAGGTCTTGAAGACATACTCGACCGATACTCCCTTGAACTCTGCCGCGATCATGCCCAAGGTCCAGGAGTTTGTTGTCGTTGGAGGAGGTCAGGAGGCCATGGATGTCACCCGTACGAGCAGTCGTCAGGGTAAATTCGAGTGCCGTTTCTGGCACAAAGTTCTCGAGGAGGAGGTCGGACGTGTCCGTGGCCATTTCGGTCCCATCAACACGATCGCTATCCACCCCGATGGTCGTTCTTTTGCCTCGGGAGGAGAGGATGGTTACGTTCGTGTTCACCATTTCGATGATGATTTCTTCACCTTCAAGTTCCAGATTTAAATCAAACGATATGATTATTGTTTGAAGCAAATTTCGGGGAATTGGAGGATTAGAAAAGTCTTTGTTATAGAAGGCGATAGTAGGAACGAAGGAAGGAAGGAAGGAGTATTGTTGGCGCCCTAAGAACAGATTAGGGAGCCATTTGGATCATACCAAGAACATAGTCATCACAGTTATTAAAAAGAAACACGCTATTTTGTTTTTCGTCAATTCTTCGTTTTTTTCATCTTGAGATTCGTACTCACTTCTAGTTCATCTTTGATTTCTCTTTGTACGGTACTGTTACCTTTCATCCTTGTTCACTTGGTCAATATCATCAAGCAGGATCGAACAAATCTAGAGAACGCGCGCTCTTTTCCCCACCCTAAATCCAACGATTCTGCGCCTCCGGGCGAAGCATGAATCGCAAAAACAATCCAAAATAACAGGAGAAATGAAGGAGAAAAAAAATGGGGGAGGGAGGGATTCGAACCCACGACTGCTCAAAGGAGCAGACTGCATTGGTTGAGCATAACTTTTTAATTGTTGCAGCGCCTTGGACCACTCGGCCACCTCTCCATCCTTGTTGCGTAGTGTTCTTTCTTCATTCTTTATGTTCGGACAATTTTTAACCCTCTTTCAAGACTGGCGCGGTGGTACGCAAGAGAAAGTCATTTTTCCATCCTCTTTCCTGTATCTATCTGTTGAAACCTCTTTAGATACTGATCATAGATAGAAGAGGTACAGGAGCATTTTATTCTTTCCGTTTCCACTGGGTGAACCCGTTCGCGTAGAACGTGTTTACTTACAGCTAACCGATAATAAACCCCCCCACAATCGCGAGGGACCTTTGACAAGAAAAAAAAAAAACACGTGACTCGTCTCTTTAACATAGACCCTTAACATCGAGTTTGAGTCCAGGAAAGGCCGATGATATCTCTCTGATCCAACGAGAATAGCAGAGGTCCTGCTCAGTGCTTGTACGTCGTGATCCCTTCTTCTGACGGACAACTGAAAACCAAAACTTTTGTTTGACACAGCGAGAAAAGAAGGAGCGACCCGCCAACAGTTATTATTCAGCAGGAATAGAGTTGATGGTTCCGAAACTCTTTCACTCTTTTTTCGATCTCCACTTTCTCGCCTTCTTGTCCCTCTTTGACTCCTTTCTTCTCCCCCCACGACTTTACTCACTTCTCTGCCAAAAAAAAAAAAAAATGTCTGATACCGCTATCGCCGTTGCCTTGGACCCCAATGCCTTTGTGGACTTTAAGCTCAAGAGCATCGAGACGCTTACACCCAACACCAGCAAGTTTGTCTTTGAGTTGCTTGAAGAACAAGTCCTCGGCATGACCGTGGCTTCCTGCTTCATGACAAAGTTTGTCAACGAGGAGGGCAAGAACGTGATCCGCCCTTACACTCCTACCTCTGAATCCGATGTCAAGGGTTCCTTCGAATTTGTCGTCAAGAAGTACGAGAGTACGTGTGAAAGACTACTGCCTTTTCAGGAGGTTGTGAATGCCTTGTTTTTTTGTTCATTGTGTACATGTGAACAGATCAGATCAGTGATGAGAATTTGTCGAATGGTAATTGTGAAGCAGCCGACAGATCACTCACAACCCTGTTTTTTTTGTAGCTGGTGTCATGTCCGGACATATCCATAACCTCAAGGTTGGAGAGACTCTTGCCATCAAGGGTAAATATTGAATAACACAGTGCAGTCGCCCCATCCACTTCCTCCCCCGAGAAAATGCTCTTGTGCCACCATTTTTCTTTGAACTGACGCGATTTTTTTTGTGATTGCCGTTTTCTTGTGTTTCTTCGTGTTCCAGGCCCTATGACCAAGTACGCGCTCAAGCCTAACCAGCACCAGTCCGTCTCGTTGATCGCCGGTGGTACCGGTATCGCGCCTATGCTCCAGCTCATTAGCAGCATCCTTAAGAACAAAGACGAGGACAAGACCAAGATCCACTTGATCTTTGGTAACATCTCGGTCGATGATATCATCCTCAAGGACAAGATTGATGCCCTCGCCAAGGAGAACCCTGAGCAGTTCAAGGTCACCTATGTTGTCGACAAGGCCTCGAAGGGATGGGAGGGCGAGACCGGTTATATCACCGCAGAGTTGATCAAGAAGCACATCCCCGAGATCGGTTCCGCTGGAAACCAGGTCTTTGTTTGCGGTCCTCCTCGTAAGTGCCCCCTTTTCTTTGACTCTCATCCCAGTTTTTTTTTAGTGGTCTTGTGTGCTGTGCATCGAAAGTTCTTAATTTTTGTTAATTTATCATCTCTTTCACTCTTTTTTTTGTTTAGCCATGATGGTCGCTGTCAGCGGACCCAAGGGACCTAACTATACCCAGGGCGAGGTCAGCGGTGCTCTCCAAGAGCTCGGTCTCACCATCGAGCAGGTATACAAGTTCTAAATTATCAGTCTAATATTCGAAATAATAGTATTCTCGCGTGTTTTCTGCTTCCCGCAACTACGTTTTATTTGGTCATGCGATACCAGTCGCACAATGCCCATACTTTTGTTACATTTTGATGGTCTGAAGCTCATAAAACAGGATATAGCCATTCCGAGCCCAGTCCGACTCCATATCCATACTCTCTGCAGAATCACGCTCGATTGTGTGCACTCTCTGACCAGACGGGTCCAGATCATCGTGCTTCAACCACTTAGGTTCCTGAAACGCGAGAGGATGAGCAAGTTTGGACGGTGTCGGAGCCTTGCCTACCGCATCCGCAACATAGCTTCGGTAATGTCCCGAATCCAGTCGGGTGCCTACATGACAAACCACAGACTTGAGCTCGAGCATGTACTTGACTTTGGGGGGGTGGCAATCCAAGTAATCGCGCTGTCCAAACGTGTCCTGTGGGTTCGGTGACCATCCTCGCTTGTCGTCCGTCAGCTCTGGGAATTGTTTCGAAGGCGAGTACTGAGGTGGTGGAGTGATTGGCGTCCGGGGTGACTCGGCTGCTTGCAGAAGCGACATGGAGTACTTGCGGTTCGAGGACGAAACTTGAGTGTTAATCGTCATCGAAGTAAAGCCATGGATCAAAGGTGAGGACCCGGAAGTCGACCTATTGTCAATATTTGCAGGAACTTCTAGTAATTGATCCGGCTCTAGGGAAAGTTGTGGTAGAAGAGGCGGTGGTGACATGGCAGAAGACGAAGGAACAGCTTCTGATGCCGAGGGAGATCCTCCTGATGACGAGCCTGTCGTGAGTACAGACCCGGTCGCTGTTACAGATGTCTTCGAGTCCGGTTTCGAGTCCGCCGACTGAGGATTTACAAAGCGTGAAAAGTCAATGCGCCGAGGAATGTCGATTGGAGTCGCTATCCGTCTCGCCCGTCCGTCAGGTCCAATGGAGTATCGCTTCAGAATCAATGGTAAAATCACAACATCGGCAGGGTACTGAGACTGACTCGCGTGGATGATTCCGCCTTGCTCATTCGACGAAGAGTAAAAAGGTAACAGTTCCAGGACCTGCCAGGCTGACACAGGGACCTCCACACCGGGGGACAATGGAGCTCCTGTTCCTGCTGAGACCAGACGTCGGATTCCTGTGAGCGTGTTGTCGTAAAAATGTTCAGCTAGAAGTTGCTCCAGCGAGAGGATACCATTGATGGACGATCCTTGGCCTACAGGATCGACCCGTGCAGGCGATAGCGAGGCCGACATTGACGTTTCGGGATTAGGTGTGGGAATCGAAATCTGGAGCATTCTTTCCGTAATAACCTTGTCGTCGTCCGCTGAAACCTTGGCTCCGTGAAGCAGTCTTTGTTCCAGTGGCAGGTAAGGGAGGTGGAGTTTCTCGGTCAAAAACATGAACAGCTCGCTCGAGTCCTCCTGACGGCTGAGGGGATCCATTGGTCCTGGACAGTGCCAGCCACAGCTGTATAAGTGCTGGCGAAGTTCCCGGACGACATGTGCCTGGACCAATTTTCCTGAACGCAACTGGTTCACAAACATGCGCAACCAGGTTTGAAGACGGTGAGTATGTAGCAAGTTTTCCTGTCTCTCCTCGTCCCGCTTTTGTTCCACAATATCGCCATTGCCATCACTATCGCTATCACTCTCTGCATCTAGATTCACGTTCAAAAGGCCTTCGAACGCCGACAATCGGGCAAACATTGCAAACAACAGTGCATCTAATGACATACAGAATACAGAGGCGAAGTGCAGGGAAGAATTGAGAAGGAAAATATAGGAAGGTCAGCTAAGCTAACTCCAATCCGGACAGAGGTTTTGATCATTCCAATATTCTGACGAGGTTTGACTTACCGATATAGCAACTCGTCATCTGGTCGTTGACCGCACCACTCAAGGTTGTTCCTTCCCGGACTGGGAGAAGAGTACCCTGAACAGCTTGAACGAGGTCCTGAGAGTACACGAGCGTCTGGTCAATGTCCCACTGGTATGAGCTTAACAGATACTCGGCGGTTTCCTCGTCCGCTCGATGTCCTGCATGTTCAAAGTAGGACATGACTCGAAGGAGCAACACCTGCTGCTCTGGATCCAGATTGTTGCCAGACCTCTGTCTTTCCCTCGGAGGCGGACAGACCTGAGATTCTGGTGTTGTGAGTTGGCTCCCTGCGGAGAGAATGGATGACGACGGTAGAGAGGTTGACCGGTGGTGCTGTCCTCCTCCAGCTGAGTAACCATCTATGGAAGTTCGAGGAGGGGCTAGACCGCCGAGACCGAATGGCCCAGTGTTAAGTCCATGACTCAGGGTGGTACTACCGCCTGGGGAAGTCGTAGAGTTTGATGAACTAGAGTATTTGTGCTTGTGGACGTGGAGGTAGGACTTGATGTTCTTGATGAGTTTGATAGGTGATCTTGATCGTTTTAACCCTTCCTTGAGTTCTTTGGGTTCTTTAGTACCCTTCTCGCGTTTCTCCTTCTTGACGCGGATGGAAGGGTTGCGACGAAAGAGCGAGTTGCTAGTGCTGGGACTGGTGTTATTGTTCTTGGGCGAAGCAGGGGCGGTCGCTGGTGGCGTCGTGGGAACAGCTGTGGCGTGGGTATTGGTGGTTGCTGTAGTTGGAGCACTGCGCTGTGGCTCTCGCGCAGGCAAAGGAGGAGGAGGAGGAGCCGGTGACGGAGTGTTCATGTGCAAGATGAGATGAATGTAAGACGGAGAGAGATGGAGAGAGGAGTACTCTGTGTATGAGTATGTGGAGTCGAGTCCAAAGAAATGAAGTTGGGAGGAGGGAAATGTAAAGGAATAATATGAAATGGAGAAAAAGGAGGATCAAAGAAAAGAAGGTGAGAGAGATTCTTTTCTTGTTCTTTACCCCCAAAAGTCGACATATACCCTTTTTGAAAGTTTCAAGTCGCCTCTGGGGCAAGGAAATATATTTTCTTTTCTTTTCTTTTTCTTCCTCACGTTTCATGTCTTCATTTCATTTACATTCTCACTTCCGGGCCAGTGCGGTGTTTCTGAATGAACCATTATTACAGCCAAGGCTCGCCATTTCAAGCGACACAGTTTTGCCATTGGCAAAAGCAAAAAGAGTCCCTTCTCTAATTGTGGCTGTAGTGTATCCGTGTCTTGGTGCCCCGAGTGCAAGCAACCAC